GAATACGCCAGACACAGCTTCCACATCGGCGCAGGGACGTCCGCTGCGATGGCGGATGTGGAGGACTCCAGCTGTTGGGTCGATGGCAAAGCGCAGCATTCCTCTGCTACATCCGGACTCCCCACGAGAGGTTGGCGTCCATCTCCTCTACCCTCGTGGCGCAGGCTTGCAGTGACCGAACCACAGCCACAGCTAGGTAACACTTTGTCTTAGCTTACGCTACACTCCCTATTGTACCTCCATAATTATTTATTGTCCCCTTACGTACTTATGTGTAATTATATTCAGCAGCCGCCAGGCCGGCTGCAGCTCCTTGGGTGGATTCGCCCCTAACGACAAGGGGTCGCAATCATACTCCCCCAAAGAAGCATGTCGCATGTCCTGCCAAGATAACAAACCCGGTAATTAGGAAGAGGATGCTCACGGGGGTCACGTAACCAAGTTACGCAGCCCATGGCGTACCACGTGACCTGCGGCATCCGCACAGGGCAACCATGTGTTATCACGTGACTCGCCGTGATGAGGTCCGCACGTGACAACCACACGACGGAATCGGACACCCCCGCAGGGTCTGGCTCCTCCAAAGTATAGAATGGGCAACTAGAGTTAAAGGTAGTTAACGGAAGGAGCCAACCCCCGCAGCGCGCCGCTGTACCAAAATTAATGGTACGAGGCGCATACGCTGGCACGCTCATTTCCTGTCCTGCCAACCCCGCTAGTGCACCTGGGCAGGGACTGGGATTCCATTTCATTCTCCATCATGCACGATGTGATGTCAGGACCCGAATGGGCATGCTACCGGCATGGGGTGGACTCGGCCCTAACGACAGGGGCTCGCAATCATACTTCCCCAAAAAAGCATGTTGCGGGAAGGTGTCCTGCCAAGATAACGAACCCGGTAATTAGCAAGAGGATGCTTACAGGGGTCATGTAACAAAGTTAGGCAGCCCATGGCCTACCACATGACCTGCGGCATCCTTACGCGACCATGTGTCATCACGTGAGCCGCTGTGACGGGGTCTGCACGTGACAACCACATGACGGAATCGGACACCCCCGCAGGGTCCAAAGTATAGAATGGGCAACTAGAGTTAAACCTGGCTTACAGGCGAGACTAGCAATGCGCGCACACTGTATTGGAAACGCCCTACTCGGCGCATGCGGCTCACTGATGCTGAGTTAGCAGCAAATGGCGTTGTTCAGTGACTACCGTGGAAGAGCTCAACGATCTACCGTAGAATGATGTAGTGTAAAGACTGGCAATGGCAGGATTTTGTATAGAAAGCAGCATTGTAAAACTGGTTAGTTGAGCGAAAATTGAAGTCATAGACTACAAAATACAGTCACGATTAAAAACTGAGGACCTGTCAGAGAGGGCATTAGCTACTAGTCTTAAGTGCATAGGAAATGAGTCATAGCTGCACATCATACGATAGAGATCACTTGTGCTTTGAGAAAATATAGGGCTTGTGTGGTGTAAAATTTACACGAGAAAGAAATGTCAGTTTGAAGATGTAGCCATTATCCATTGTACTACTGTCATCCCTGTCTTGTCTTTTATATTCCACCCTTTTAAAAAAAATTTACTTGTATTTTATGATGGAGCTTTGCGCATCTTTGCTGTGTTATAACCCCTTGTTTCTTCCTTTTTGGTGCTTCAAGCCATCCCTATATCCCCCTTCGTTTTCAGCATTGCATATGGTGGTAGAAAGGATCTGAAGAAGCATGAACTTACCAGCACGCATCAGGTGGCGAGTGCAAGCGTTAAGTCTACTCATTCTTAAACATCATACTTCATCAATACACCTGGACCTAAGCGGGAGTGTGGTGTTGTTGAGGCAGAAGTAAAGTTCAGCTATTTCATTGCAGAACGTCACCTTGCTTAGACCACTGTTCCAAGCTCTTTCCTTCCCTTTTTCCGGATTCAGATATTGCTAAGGCTTTTAAATGTGGTCGCACAAAAGCTATTGCTGTCATGAAAGTAATAGCTCAAGAAGTGATGAATAATTTTCTTGGTGGTCTTGAAGAATCACTCTTTTTCAGCATACACACTGATGACAGCACCGTGAAAGATGCAGCAGAGGAAGCAGAGGTCGACGAGAAGACTGCAATACTGCAACCATGACTCTCCATTGATGCTGGGTGGTAATGGAGTATCGATGGGAGTCTCTTTCGCCACAAGCCCAAGCATCACAGAGGACGAGTTACCACCAATGAGGTCTGGGTGTTTGGGCTCTGCAATACCTCTCAGTCTCCAGCACTGGGGGTCATGTGCATTGTACTAGACCGTACTGCACAAACTATCCTCCCCATCATCAGATGCCACGTCAGGCCGGGGAGAGGCGTAATGCTCACAATAAGAGAGAGGCTTCTTGTTTTGACCAATAATGTAAGCCAGCTTACAAGAAGCAAGTTCTCGCTTTCGCTGTGGATCTAAGCCTTGCAGCTTTCGTTTCTCCGTTTCATATGCTTCTTCTTGATTTTGGACATTTGCTGACATTCAAATCTTGTTGATAACGTTGATGGTGCTTTTTTATTTTATCAAACTTGAAACTATCAAGGCGCTTATGGCACAACATACAAACCATGGAATTTCTAGTAGGGTCAAAGTCCAATAGCCACTCCTGTCTCCACGTTTCCTTGTACTTACGTGGTCTTGCTACACGTGGCTGAGACTGAGACGAAGTCCTAAAACCAAAAAAAACTGAACCATTGTCTAGTTGCAAAATTGAGGCTAAAACTACGCCCAGTGTTGCGTGGGCACTTACGATTGAATCTGATTGGAGTCGCTCACATGCTCACTTTCTCCAGAGTCTTCAAAGTCCGAGCCTTTTGAAGATGAAGACACGATACGAGGGTGCTTTGCACTACAGGACGTCTCCTGTGTCTCAATGAAGCTGTCCATCGTAGCCTGTGCCTGAGACTGAGCCATTACCACCACTCGCGGATGCAGAAAATTGTGCGCATGCGCAATTGCCGTGCACCCGCTTCACTCCATGCCTGTTGCCAATTTAACTACTTCCATTCGCCAAACCTGCAGGTGTGTCGCCACTTTTGGCACCACGGCGATAAATGCACACCCCTGAGTTGCATATTGGCTTTTTCGTTAGTGTTTCACGGTGTAAACCTCTCGAATGCAGCAGTTTCAGAGAAAACCCTACATATTTTCGACCTTTATCAAACGCTGAACGTGGTGGAGCGATTGATGGCTCGTGAAGTGAGATGTCACCTAACTGATAGACTGACAGACACACGACAACTATATACAACTACATAAAACTACCGTAACCCTAAAACTAACCTCATTTGTCTAGCAACTTCTTGATATGGACATTCATGCACCCACTAGTATAATCAACACCTAAGTATGTTCAATATGTACTCACACGTGAAAACTTAGTCATGCAGTAATTCTCATCGTACTTACTATATTCCTGCTTCACTATTTCACGCAAACCACACAAGGGGGGAAACAAGTCAGAGTACATACTGGGCATCTCGTCCATTGAAATGTACGCCCTCGGGCCTTTCACGTAGCGTCCTTGCTGTGCGCACAGAACGCTACAACACAAGGGCCCTTGGGCTTCTAACACCTGTAGATTTTACAGACTCGCTGTCTAGAGGGAAGAACATGCTCCTCCCATTTTTAATCACCATGTACTAACTCCCTATCACCATCACTGCACTCTCTTACTCACATTAGCCTTAGCCCAGAGGAAGTTGGAACCCATCACGTTAATCATGCAGGATTTTTAATTAGTGCATAAAGGAATGTGGGGAATGTGCTGCCTGGGTGTTGACCCTAAAGGTTATCGCAAAGTTTGATAGCTCGAAATTAGGAGGATGCACTTTAAATTTGGCAGAAAGTGGTAGGTTTAGCTCAGTTATAACTATCGTGTACAGAGTGGCACACATTATCTAGCACTCATCGCTGTCTCATGACAAGGTAGACAAGGGTAGGCTGGCTCATCAGTATCCCCTTTTGGAGTCAGATCTACGGACCTACAAACCTTTTCCGACACTCGTCGGATTTTGTCAAGCAAAGGTTTTTTCCTGCTCTACATTCCCTACGGAAGATAAGTTGATGACTCAGCAAATTTTGCACGAGAGTCACGTGACATTGTGTAATGCTTCCGGCAGATAGTAAGCATGCACCAAACCTACAATAAGCTTTTATAAGTGTTCCGTAGACTCACTAACACTCACTAACACTCACGAACTTATCGCCACCAAAGAGAGTCCCATCACTACTCAAATCCCAGCTTAGACTCCTCTACCTACCTCCAAAGCGCATTAATAAAAAACCAAAAAGCAGAATTTGTAATAAGCTGCAACCCTGAGCGACTCTCCGCTCCATTTCAAATTTCAAATCTAACCATACAGTACTCTTTAAAGATTCATTACTCAATGAAAAAGCAAACCCTCGGCGAACTGCGCACGTGTGGTACCACTCATTGATGGGCTGGGCTATTAGTACCTATTTACTCGTGGAGAGTCTGACACGGGCTAGCTACAGTAGTATATAGCATGCGGGAGTCGATACACGCCCTTCGCTGTGACTTCTTGTGTCTTCAAGTTACACCGAGCAAGCGGACCGGCTCAAGGTAAGCCTGTTCTAATTAGCATATTGCTTTTTCGCTCGTGTTTCACGCTTTAACTCCCGAACGCAGCAGTTTCAGAGAAAACCCAACATATTTTTCGACCTTTATCCGACGCTGAATACGTGGTATCGTTTGTGGAGCGATTGATCGCTCGTGAAGTGAGATAGCTCGCGGACAGACAGACAGACAGACACACACACATGACAACTACCGCAACCCTTCGCTGTGCAAGCGCGCTGAGGTTTAAAGACCCTCCACATCTTATCTCATACTCCATATTCTGACTAGATTCCATCACACATAATGGTATGCTTTCTGCACATCTAGGAAGAATGTGAGCTTCTCTTTCCCTTTCTTTAACCTACCCTGCACGATTTCATTCATATGAGCATACAAGTATTAATTAACACAACTCCTCAAAACCCTGCACATGAGTTCTTCCGCAAATAAACATACCAGCATTTTCGGGAGCCTTTTATCATTTCTGTAGGCTGCCCAAACAGAGGAGAGCCTGTCACGGAGTTCCTGGAACCCTATGTCTGGTCTCAGCTTGTATATGAGGGAGCTGAACCCACTACCCACTGTACGGAGAGCCGAGAGTTTATCACTTGCTAGGTCATCCTCTCCACCAGCAGCAGTTGCCAGAGCAACATTTACAAAGTTCTGGAGGTCCCCCACATCTGTGGTGTAAAATACAGCCGCCTGACCTATTATTATGGCTAAAAATTACCACACAACAGAACAGATAAAATGAGATCTATGTAAAATCTGTGATGTTGTCTAAAATTGTAGTAGCGTAGCAACTAGTAACTTGCCATAGAGCATGTGATACACAACAACAATGTAACAATCCAATACTCCATACTTTAGTTCGTGGGATAGTTTTATGAAGTCAGATAGAATGTACCTTTAGTTGAGTCTCTGATCCAAACAACAATTATCTGGGATATACAGAAACTGTCAATACACTCCAACTTTTCTCCTGTGAAGTCATGTAGAAACTGGCCTGTCTGTACCAACTCCGAACTAATATCAGTTAATGTTTGATTTTCATCCGAAGAAAGCTGCAATCACAAAGGTTTAAGATGTACACAGTGCATCATACATTAATTATGCTCATTTACACACATACTTCAGTTGCAACTGTCTCCACATCTGTCATGTCTGTTTCTGAGATTCCAAGCAAGTCCCTCAGTTTTAGGAATGAGATGGCTGCATCACGATAACTACACAACCTCCTATAGTCCACGATTTTTAGAACAACTCCTTCAACCCAGTCATCATCACTTGGTTCCTTCATCATGCATACTTGAACACCATAATATAAATGCTTTACTTCAATCGTGATTTCCCTCTCAGTAAACTCATGGAAAATGCTGTCAACATCATTAAGAGTTATAGAGAGATCCATCAAATCTCCCAGAAGGTTCCTACAATAATCAAAAGTTGGGATCCACATTTGAGACTGAAGATCACCAATACTCAGGATTGTGTTTTTTTGTCTGGCTTTGTCCATTGTATTTGACCAAGCACTTAAGAAAAGGCTACTGTTTTTCTCCCTTGTAAAAACACTGAACTTCCATACAAAGGAAAGTAAAACTTCAGCTGCAGGAAAACACTTCACTTCATGGCGGGTACAAAGGCGATTAATATTGATACTCTTGTAATCCATTCGTAGCTCTTGTGCAACTTTAGACATATCTGACAATGAATACAAAAATCCAGTAAGGGTTGATTATTAATATATGTTTACTTACCACATATCATTGGGTCTAATGAATGGCAAAGATGCTGTAAACATTCAAGTGTTTCAGAGAACATCTCAAACTCTTTAAATCTCTGTTTTAGTGTTGATTTGAGTTCACCATAACCAGCATCTTGATGTGCTTTTTGTGCTATAGAATTGTACAACCTCTTCATTTGGTCAATATTTGCATGAATTTTTGTAAGCTCTTCTATTGTAATATTTCCATTCTGAAGACTTTCAAATACCTCATCCAGTTTAGATATTGCACAAGTGCAGGCAAGCAGACAATTTTCAGCTAATTTCTCTCTTGCCTTTGAAGAGCCACCTAAGACACACAGTAAATTATCCATAAAAATCGTCTTCAAATAATATAGTGCATTTTAAAATGTACATACTTGATGTGATTCATTGACATGCACGTGCCTTTAAAAATATATAGCATGTGTCAGAGGAGGAACTAACCCTCAGTGCACATGTGCAGCGAGGTTTACAGTACTTGGTCGGTCTGTCTGTCTGTCTGTCTGTCTGTCAGTGTGTCGACGCTTATCCTCACGCTACAGACTACCAGGCAGCCTATGAGAGATATCAACGGCTTCCTGAACTAAGCGAGCCTGAAAAATAAAAACAGCGATTCTACTGAAACGACTATGTTTGAGAGATATGCTGTAAAAACAAGCAAAAAAGCTGATGCGTAATAACACTGGGCTTACCTCAACCTGATACCCTTGCTCTGTGTACCTTGGAGGCAAAGTCACAGCAAAGGGCATTTTATCAACTCCTGCATGCTATCAACTAAGTAGCTAGCCTGTGCTCAGTCACTTCACAAGCTTCTAGCGAGAGACCATGAGTAACTGAGTACTCGTAGTCCAAAGGTTGGCTGAAAGAGCTCTCCTACCCACCTTCTCATCTGGTGTCCTGGGTGGTGATAGCGGGGGTTGGGGGTATACAGTGGTAGAGTAGAGAAGGCATTGCTCTGGGGAGGTGTCTGTGGATGGACCGGGTTCCAAATCTCCAGGTTAGACCTGCGACCGTGTCTGGGCAAGAGGGGCAGGCAAGCCACTCCTCTCACTCAAGCTTACTCGCGCAACTCAGAGGGGAGGGGCAGTCTACCCCCGGGCCAACTCCCCCCTCTTGCTCAGACAATCCAGGCAACACACCAGTTGGGTGTGGAGGTGGTATGGGGGAGGGGGATTAATGGCCTCTCCTGTTCCTACATCCCTTCTCTATGCCGCCTATGGTTAGAGCAAGATGCAACGTTTGTCCATAAACAGCTGACTACAATGGGTACGAGGACTGCAACACTCTGGCGACATGTAAGTATTGCCTTCATGCGCAACACATGCACTGTTTCCAATCCCTGTTGTACATAGCCTAATAAATCTATAAATTCAGTGTTATGAAGAAGTTGCAATACACATATGCACGAAGTTTCATAGTATTTGAATTACCACTAGTGTAACAGAGACACAAGGACAATGTTAAGCATGTATTGTTGTAGTGACCTCATGCGCATGTGCTGTAGTCATTTGCCTATACACGTAGTAATGTCATAACTTATACGTCTCTAGAGATGGATTTATGTAACGGACGGATCGCATGCTATATTAGCCAAATATGATGATTGCTTCGGATGAGAGTCAAAAGTACGGAGAAAGGAGGGGCGAGACCTGGATGGGTGACAGAGCAACCTCCGCAATCGCAGTCTCCATGGATTAACTGAACATGACGGTGGAAGAACTAGTTAAGCCCTTGAATGTACCACACCATATATTACAAGCTGTCCAGCACGAGCAGTAAGCTGCAAGTGCCAAACGATGAGACCAGTTAGTGTGTTTTCCACAAACTTTACTGTTTTTGCTATTGACAGGCTGGGGTATATACAATGCTGCTCCTCTAGGGGATTCCCGAAAAATCTGCCCCACCCGGCAGGGCCAGCTCGACTGCACAGCCGTAAACTTATTTCCTACGGCTAATGTGGGTCTCTCCTTCAAAAGAAAGGCTGCCACACATCAAGGATAAACACCCACAATGACTGCCAAAGGCAGTGGCCAAGACACATAAAAAGGAGAGTTTGTTGATATGGGCAAACTCCTCCCCAAGTTGTGAACGAACACCAGGGAGGAAGACTGGACACCAGGCCCACAGGACCCTTAAAATTTGCTTCGAGGTCTTGTAAATGGGTAGTCAGAAAGATAATTTTGACAGTGAGTACGAAAAAGAGCAGCAAACACTTTGGACAGCCAGATTAATGTGCTCTATTGCTCTTATACATAAGTGCAGTCTTTATTCTTCTAGAGCATCATACACAGCTTTTATACACACCAGCCATCATACATATGCGTGTTCAGCCTCACACACACAGTGCAATGGCTCTATACAATAGCATTACCATCACAATGCCACCTAATCATGGATTTATCATCAACCAGTGTCAATGGCGAATCAAGAAAAGCATCTGCTCATTATCCTACTCGACCCATAATACTAGAGGAATGCAACGCATTGTTGGCAAGCGAGCACAAGCAGTTCATTATTTCGCATGTGTTTTACGCATATTTAAAACCATGTAGAACATTGCGGCATGTGCAGTGCCCGATACATACATACAAAAATTTCCGCATGGGGTAGGCTTACTTTGCTCGCCAATTATGGGATGCACCTAAGGGGTGACGGCACGGCTGTATTAATGGCTAAGGTAGACATCAGGCATCACAGACACATCCCGGTGCACCCAGACAATCAGGTGCTGATGGTGGGATGAAAGAATCTTCATTGACATAGCCTTTGCCATTTGGTTTGAGGTTTGCTCAAAAATATTCAACGAGGCAGTGGAAGGGATCCTAAAGCAGCAGGAGTTTATTGTGAACTACACTACTTGGGCGATTTTCTTGTGATCAAGACAAGTAGGGGTGGGAGGGCAGGGATAGCAGATCACAGGGCACTTTTAGGCGATAATCACTGATAGCATAAGATTCAGGTGAGATCACGTGAGCTCCGGCTATGGATAATCACATGATGTCCCATGCATTGGGGTGAGGTCACATGCCTGAAGAGCCAAGTCCCCTTTGCTTGTTTCTAGTACTTTTCCAAAGCAAAGCACTAAAGTGCAAACTCTCAGTGCAAGAACGCATGAGCGTAGCGCTGATGTGAACAATGCGCATAGAGCACCGTTAATTGATGGGGGGAATGTCATGCAACCTGATCCCATTGAAGGAGGTTCTTGCTCTAGCACAGGCTAGCTGCATCAGTGAGTAGCTTTTAAAGAAACACTTGACTAAGTAACTTCATCAATCAACAGTGAGGCTAAACCCGGTCGAGGTAAATCGTGGCTGATTATTTTCTCTTGAACGCAGTTGGTTGAAAATAATAGCCATTTTGTTTTTCATGCACTGGGAGCTCAGAAGCGGTACCCATGACTTATAGGATGCGTCGTAGCCTGTAGTGCCAGAATAGCTGCAAACAAACAGACAGACATGTCGACCAAGTACAGTAACCCTACCTGTGCATGGATCGTGTTTGCAT